CTGAGATTAAGTATCCTCCCTTTCCCTGGCATTAGTGGTAAAATTCAGTTGTTGGGAAAAAACAATGTTGGCACCTGTATTGATACACACAGGAAAAATACCAGGGTGGATTAATGGGTCAACACAACCTCACACTTAAATACAGTAGACTGTTGTTTATTGCGTTGATACTGGCAACATTAGAATTTGCCAAATCTTCTCAGACCAATAGTACTGCGTGTGTAATGGTGGCGGCTCAGGAGGCAGAACTAGTGTAATACAAGACTTGAGATTCAGAGAGGCGTATAGTTGGCATCAGGCAGGCAGAATAAGGCAAACAATACCTACAATTATCAGCACTCAAAGAAGAAATCATGAACACTCAAGCAGGTTGGCACTGTGATATCAATCAAGCCATGTTATACAAGAAGGACCTTCTTCACTACAAAGAGGAAAACAAAGTAAGGTTAGAAGAAGCTAATTAGCCAAGGCTTTGGAGCCATACTTGTCCAAAAAAGTGTCCAAAGCCAACAGTAGCAACAACTACACTAATAGTAGTGACTGAATGATGATGAACATGAAGAGATGATGACGACGACAACGACAACAATGGGGGACTGATTATAGTAATAATAGTAACTGTAGTAATAATATTATTATTAATAATAATAATAATAATAATGTCAGTGATATTAGCAATGGCAGTCAAGCAAGACCATGGCAGGAGGCTCCACCAGGATCCACGAGAACCTGCGAGATGATGAGCCTTGACTCGTATTGAACCAATCATGTCACCACACAAAATCCTTTCACCACACAAGAATGTCGATAATGGACATATTGAACAATTCTGCAAAACCCTAGAACCATTGAATACTCAATTTCTATATCTGCACATGGCAACTACAGTGTGGTTATTGTTAGGGACAGATTGTGATTATGCCAAATACATTATGGTCTAAGGTATGGCTAGGGTAAGGCATTTAAACAACCTTTGACACAACCATTCACAACTCATCTACTTCACCCATATTTTCTGCTGTGCTACATAAAGGCCGAGTAATTTCTGTCATTGAATTTTAGCACAGGACATAATTCACGATGTCCCGAATCATACAATATGGACGTAATTTTGAGGAATAAACTGAACAGGAAATATATATAATGGCTGCACTACTTGTAAAACTTGTTTCTTGTGATGCTCGTCTCATTCTTCCCAGCAGCATGGGTTTCCTCATCAGGTTAAGTAAAGCTAAAGGTTGAGGGTAGACCTGTAAGTTGATTAAATTGGTTAGACAGACCGGGGTGGTTAGAGCTTGAATCCTCCATGCAGAAAGTAGTGGGATGTCTCTTACGTTTGTGTTTTCTCTTGCAATTGTCAGCTCGAACAATTAAATGGGTTAGAGCAGGAGTGACCAACCAGTCGATCACGGACTGATTACAAGTCGACCGCGAGGGGTGTAGGAAAAAATTAAAAAAATAAAGTTTTTTTTGGGTGTGTGTGTGTGTTATATTTTGCATTAAATGTACACTACAGCCTATCAGGAGTCCTTGCCTGCGCCCCTTATCAGTCTCTTAAACACGTCCACAAAAAAAGAGAAAAAGAAAATAGTAGGTCACGTTTAACCTACGGTAGCGCGTGACAGCATGACTGGAAGTTGACAGCTGTCAACAGTAGCTAGAAGCTAGCGATCAGAGCGGTTACGCACTCCTAAACGTTAACATGGCTGAGGGGAAACGAGCCAAGACCTACCATTTTCACCCTGAATGGGAGGAAGATTATTTTTTTGTTTATTCTCATTCAAAGCCTGTTTGTTTGATCTGCAATGCAACGGTGGTGTTGGCAAAGAAAGGGAATCTGGAGCGGCATTTTAAAACGGTGCACGGGAGCTACGAGAGGGATTTCCCTGCAAAAACGCCTTTACGCGCCACAAAAGTGCGGGATTTGAAAGCACAGCTTGCAGCACGGCAGTCAATCTTCACCAAACCGAAGACCCAGGGTAAGGCCGCAACTATTGCTTCCTATCGCGCCAGTCACGTCCTTGCTAAACACAAGAAGCCATTCAAAGACGGCGATATTGTGAAGGAAGCCTTTCTCAAGGCAGCGGATAGCCTTTTTGACGACTTTAAAAATAAAACAGAGATCGTGAAGGCCATTAAAGAAGTGCAACTCTCCCGCAATACTACTACAAGGCGATGTGAGGGAATGGCTGTGGATGTGGAGGAGCAACTGAGGAAGGATGTTGACACGTGAGTGCTTTTCCCTCCAATTGGACGAGTCCACTGATGTGGTGGATGTGGCACAATTGTGTGTTTTCATCAGGATGGTTTTTGAAGACATGAGCGCCAAGGAAGAGCGACTCACCATTTTGCCATTAAAAGGACACACCAGAGGTGAGGATATTTTTAATGCCTTCATGGGATTTGTTAGCGAGACAAAACTGCCGCTCTTCAAGCTGATCTCCATCACAACTGATGGGCGCCTGCTATGATGGGCCGCACCAGTGGGTTCATTGCACTGTGCAAAGAAAGTGAATCTTTCCCGGATATCCTGAATTATCACTGTATAATTCACCAGCAAGCGTTGTGTGGAAAGATTTTAAGACGATTTAGAATAATGAAAGAAGTAGATGGATATTGCGATGAAGATTGTGTGTTCAGTTCGGCCCAGGAGTCTGCAGAGAAGGCTTTTCCGTGCTCACTTGGAGGAGAATGATGCTGAGCACACAGACCTGCTGCTTCACACGGATGTTAGGTGGTTAAGCAGAGGTAAATTTCTGGCCAGATTTACGGAGCTGTTGCCTGAAATCAAGGACTTCCTGAAGCTTTCAAAAACATGTGGATTACCATACAAAGCTAGAGGACCCACCAGTGGCTTTTTCGATTTATCTTCCTCACTGCTCTGCACTGGCGAGCTCAATGAATTGAATTTAGAGCTACAGGGAAAGGGTAAAGAGGTAGTCAAGCATGATGAGTTCAGTGAACATGTTTAAAAGCAAGCTACAGCTGATGTCAAGCAGGCTGCAGCGGGGTAACCTGCCACAACTTCCCTTAGATGCAAACTACCACGTCAAGGTAAAGGTGTGACACAGCTGACAGTGCATGCTTATGAGCTAGCATGTTCAGAGCATCTCGTCAGAGTTTGAGAGGCGTTTACTGAATTTGCACCATCGAGCCTGCGAGCCAGCTATATTGTGTTATCCATTTGGTGCAGATATTGATGTTGGTGTCATTGCCAGCCAAAGTCAAATCCCTTTTCGACTTGGAAAGTCCGCTCTTGAGGATGAGATCTGTGAGATTGCAAAGATGACATTGTGATCAAGCGCAGGATCAACATCTGCTCAACCTGGAGAGGCATGTCGAGTCTAGAAATACTGGTGAGGAGAAGCTATCCCAATCTCAGAAGATGTGCCTTAACCTGCAGCTCTTTTGGGTCGAACTATTGGTGCGAGTCTGGCTTTCTCGACATGAAAAATGATCAAGTCCAAGTACAGATCAACAATGAGCTGATGACCACCTTGCAGCTGCCTACGCCTTGAACCAGCCCCTACACTCCTGATACGAGAAGCTAGCCTCCTCGCTCCCAGTGGCCAGGTCTCCACTAAGGTAGAAAGTGATTTCCTTTTTTTCAACTTTGAGATTCCTGTTTTTGTATCTGGCTTTATTTTTGCTGTTTGGCATATTAGGTTCAGTTATGGCTATTGCTCATGCGATGCAGATTGGGTGATGTGGTGTAAACTGATGTGTACTTATGTTCTTACAGTTTGTTATATTTCATCAAAAATCCATCTTTCTTGATATTTTGTTATTGTTTTTATGTGTATTTATTTTGGGGAGCTTTTACTTTGTTAATTGTATTTTTGACCTGTTGGTGATGTCACTTCCTGTGTTGTCGCGCTAATTCTCCTTTATTCTATGCTGAGGAGAGGTAAGACAACCTGAGCGCTCTGGTTCAAAGTGATTTAAAAATGTTAAAAACGCTAAATAGATGTTCTAACTCTACTATATAACTGTTGCTGGCTTTGTTCTTTGTTATGGTGATTTTTGATTTTTCTAATAGCATCAGTTAGCTAGCAAACAGCAGATTACGCATCCATACGATTATTAGTGCAGA